AGAAATTAAATCTCCGAAGCACATCCATCCTATATCTTTCCTTAGTTTTAACAGATCACATTTTCTCCAATGCAGCCCAGTTTTGAATGTCTCACTAGATATGTAGAATTAATTCATGATTAGTTTGATAACGTCCATGTCACACGTCATTTAATGAGTCACATGCTGTAGGGTTAATATTTTAATAATAATAACATGTAGATTAATAATTACTTCTCACGCATTGCATATAGTTTGATTTTTATAAATAAAAAAACCCAAAAAGAATTGAACGTCATTGCATTTAGAAATCATGTCTAGGCCGTGCATGCATTGCTTGGTTTCTAGTTAACACTTTGCAAAACACTTGATGCATTGGACATCAAGGATCTCTGCTTTTGATTTGCTTAGCACATTGAGGTTCTCTCATTCCTATAAGCAAGTTATTTATTGCTTTGATTTATTGAATGTTACATTATTGACTGGACCCCTGCATGAATACCCGTCACATGTTAGTGGTTTAGGATTAAAATCGTTCAAGAGTGTACGCTAAATTTATTTTGAAAATTGTTGACACCTAATTTTGCCCCACCTCGATAAATTAACGCTTAAATGGTAAATGGGCCAAATTAGTGCAAAAGAGAGATAATAAGATAATATCATTAGTGGATATTTTTAAATAAAAAAAAGGGATAATGACACAAACAGTCCCTGAACTTTGGCTCAATGTGCAATTTGGTCCTTGAATTTTTAATTTGTTCAATGTAGTCCCCTAAACTTTAACCCAATATTCAATGTGATCCCTGAACTTTCAATTTGTTCAACTTGGTTCCTGAACTTTTAGTAAATGTTCAATTTAGTCCCTGAACTATATGAAAATGTACAATACAGTCCATGAACTTGAATTAATGGAAGGACTACATTGAACGTTTTTATAAAGTTCAGGGACTATATTGAACATGTACCAAAAGTTCAGGGACCACATTGAATAAACTGAAAGTTCAGGGACCATATTGAATATTGGGTTAAAGTTCAGGGACCATATTGAACATTGGATTAAAGTTCAGGGACTACATTGAACAAATTAAAAGTTCAGGAATCAAATTGCACATTGGGTCAAAGTTCAGGGACTATTTATGTCATTTTCTCTAAAAAAAAGAGACAAAATCGGGCGGGTGGGACCCGGCCCGTCGGAGCTAGGCCCTCCCTCCTATTCTTCCTACTTGTGCTTGAGCCCAAATTTTGCCCCTTTCGGCCCAGTCCCCTTTGCTCCTATTCCTCTCAGCCCAGCCCCTTCTTCTTTCTCTCCCTCTCTCTCCCTCACGTTCGCTCGCGTTGCAGAAGCGACGAAGAAAGGAGCGACAAATCGCGGAAGGTACAGAGGACGGAACGACCAGCGACAGGGGAGCGCGCCGCAACGTCGAGCGGGCATGCCAGGCCGGTACAGTCCTTTGGATGAGGACAAAAGAGGAGCTCGGTTTTAAAATGACGGGGAACCGAGAGAGAGAGAGAGAGAGAGAGAGGGGGACGCTGGATTCAGAGGAGAGAAAAAGGGGAAGGGGTCTAAGAAGAGAGTGCTCCGGTTCCTCCACCTGTGACGATCGCCGGCAAATCCCTTCCCCCCCTCCCGGTGAGCCGGTCACCGTCGCCGGACGTCCGTCGCCTCCGGCCGTCGCGTTCCGTCTCGGTCAGTCACGAACCAGAGAAGACAGACCGGGGGAAGCTTTGAACAAAGGGGGAGGAAGGTCTGTTTTGGTAGGGGGGCTTCCTGAAACCGAAGAGGGAGAGGAGAGAGAGATGAGAATAGAGAGTCCTCCTCCGCCCGCAGGAAGCCCCGTCAAGTCGCCGACGAGCTCCCCGGCCGCCGCATTGCTCCTGGCCAGCCGCGAACCAGATGGGTTGTGCCATCAACGCTTGAGGGGGAACTCTCTGCCCAAAGAAAAACCGAGAGAGCGGGGGGTCGAGAGAAATTTCTTCTTCTTATGTTGGAATCACCGTCGTCCTCGTCAAGGTCCATCCGCCAGTCACCGGTCGCCGCCACAGCAACGAACCATGTAAAACTTCTTCTCGGATATTCCCCCGTTTTTGTTTTCCGTATTTTGGCCGAGAGTGAAGTGCGAGATTCAAGTGATGAAATCGTGGGAAAACTGGATAGAATAGGACTGGTTTGTTGCTTAATAGTGTGATTTAAACGCCTGTATATCATGTCCTGCTCAAGAAACACACAGGAGTTGAATCGGAAGCTTGTTTCCGGAATTGCATAGCATCGGTTCGACAAAATGTCTGAAAGCTCCGAATATGTTTTTGTGAAATCGACACTCGAGAACTTTGTCATATGCTCGATTCGTTCTAGTATTGTTGCTGACTTCAAGCTATCTGTGATTTCGTGGCATACTTGTCAGTTCCCGTCGTCGGCCGTGGACGAGCACCTTCCGGAGACTCGCTCCTCTTGCCGGAGCGATGCCCGCGGTTAGAGGCCACCGTGGTCAGTTTCCCATCCTCGTTTCGTGCGTCTTATGTCTTATGTGCGTATGGATTTAGAGTTTTAGATGTGGCTGAAATGTCGAGATATTAAAAATGGAAGTCGATATCGGTGTTTGGTCGCCGGTGTCCCTTTTCGTGGCCGGAGTTAGCCGACGGTCCGGTGGTTTGTGATGGCCGGCGGTGAGAAGGTAAGGCTGGCGGTGATCGTTGGCGGTGTCGACAGTCGACACGCCCCGACAGTCGGAGGCGAAGAGAGGTCGGGGGGCGGAGACTCGTGGAAAGACGCTCACGGTGAAGAAGGCAGAAGACGCCTGGGAAGGAGAAGGCGTCCTGGGCAGAAGGGAAGAGAAGGGGAAGAATAAACTAAAAAGAAAAAATAGAAAAAGAAAAAAAAAGGGAGAGAAAATAAAGAAAAAAATCAGAAAAGAAATAGAAAATGGGGTCCCGGGCGGGTCAGAGAGCTGGGTCAGGTAGCCGGGGCGGATCGGGTCAGGGGACCCGGTCCGGAATTTTTATTAATAAAAATATTAAAATATTAAAAATTCCAAAAAAAATTCGAAAATGTTTTAATATCCAAAAAATATTAAAAGTCTGAAAAAATAAAAAAAAACATTAAATTTTTTTTAAAAAAATCAGAAAAAAATCAGAAAAATTCCAAAAAAATCAGAAAATTAGGAAATGTTCAGAAATCACTTTTTGGGCTTAAATTCACTGGATATTAGTGTTTATCTCATTCTAGGCTTAGTTTAAAACTTGCAAAAATTGAGAAAATCTTTTAAAAAATTCCCAAAAATCTGGATAAGCCATTAGGGCTTCACTTTAGGGCTTTTGATTGTCTTTTTTTAGAGACATTGCTAGGTCGCTGGTTGTTTATTTTCTTTATGATTATTTGGTTGCCCACTTTTAATACTTTGGTTGTTATTTTCCATTTTTAGCACGGTTGTGTGGAATCTTAAGCTTTTTTGATAGGCTGTCCGATACGTTTATTTGCGAATGTTCAAGTTTAGGTACCGAAAGGGCACTAGTTAGATTGCTAGTATAATCAAGTTCCCGATCTTTAGGATCTAAGATTTATGGTTTTCGCGCGTATCAAGACAACTCTCCCGCGTCTTGATTAGGGTTTCTAGCCAACCCTTGATCATGGCTAGTGGCGACTCCAATCAACTGCATAGTTTAAAAATTTTCGTCGCATGAGGTATGAGGCTTGGGAGTGCCTCGGTCCTTGGACTAATGAACTATTTGATTTGTCTTTCAAACGAATCAATTAATGTTCATATCTATCGACAAATATCTCTTGGCCTAACCGATCGGGACGGGGTAGGTCGCGACAAAAATAAAGAGAAAAAGTACCGAAATGGTGTTAGATTTATTTAGTACAACTAAGTCCTTGCATCCATGATATCTCTAGTTTGTAAAAGTAAAGTGTTCTCCCACAATTGGGTTTTTTTTATCGACCCGCAATAGATTAGTGGCGACTCCTAAATGAATTAATTTGCATGTTAAATTAATTAAATTTAAACCCAAAAGTTACAATTGGCATGGGGTTGGAAGAGTCCGCACTAAGTTTTTTAGCTTAGTAATTCATTAACTTTCCCTTCGTTGTTCACCTCTGAAAAGGTTGCAACACATGATATGTGTTTTCTCCATGTAAACTTTAGCACGATGAAATTTTCGTTCCCCTTTTATTTTGGACATCGTGCTATTTGGCAGATATTTCACAAACGCGCAAGGGATACCTAACCTGCTATTTTAATTAAAAATAGTTAGTACATTGAAACCGAAAAACACCCTCAGGAAGTTTTCATGGGTGGGGGACGATTCAAATGAAGAGCCAAGGGATAATGGGTGATTCCGCTGTTTTGACAGCAAACAGCTGCACCAACAATCCTGTGAAATTTAATGGGAACATCATAGTGAGTACATTCTGATATATCAAACAACTTGGCTAAGATGAAGAGCCAAGGGATCAGGAGCTCACCAAAAAGAACACGTCCCACCTCGCGAATCCAAACTTGCTGACCGGGGTCGATGTTGGAGGGCCGGACATTGACGATCGGCACAATGATTCTAGAGCTGATTTTGCACACTCAGAGCCAACGACGTATATTAATGGACCAAAAATAAGGTTTTAGGGTATTAGGCTGTCAACAATTCTAGGGTTGACGGGGCAAATTTGGGTTTCAAAAAAAAATTGATGGTTTTTTTATTAGACAATAAAAAGTTCAGGATGAAATTGGCACTAGGATAAGGGTTGTTTATGAGACGAAAAAAAGTTTCAGATATAATTTGGGGTGCAGCTAAAGTTGGGGTTTTTTTAGGGTATATTAGGCCGTAACAAATCCACTAAATTCGAAAGATAAGCATTTATCATCAAGTTGGTTTAACGACTTCCTTTTCTCCTTTTGATGTCACCTGTTACGGTCGTTCACCCAACCGATCAACACCTATGTAGAAGTGTATGTAATCTTCTTGTTCTTAAAAAACGAAAAGGCGATGACAGAGGAATCTGAATTTCGGGGAAATGGTTGATGAGTTCCTTATTGAAATTCTTGTTTTACTTCCTTGCATTTCAATGTCTATGGATATTCGGCCAAAAACAAATGTCTATGGATATGGATGCCATCTGAAGAAGGCCAGGACACCAACAAGAGGAGCATTAATATATGTTGTTGGCTCCGAGTGTACAAAATCGGCTCTAGAATCGTTGTACCGATCCTTGATGTCTGGACCTCCAACGACGGCCCCGGTCAGCAGGTTTGGATTCGGCCTTCTGCTCTCGAAGTATGGCGTCCCGTCCTTGCAACCGATCTGTTGTGGGTGTTGATCTAGGGACGGCAAGGAAGAGCCTCTGTGATGGATCCTTTGAGGGAATTTCCTGCCGTATCCCACCATGTACGACATGTTCATTGGGTTGCTTCCTAATATATAGTCCACCTGCCAAATGGAACGACCAAAGATAGATATAATGAATCTTCCTAAAATTACTCTCTTTCTGATCTTTGATTTTGTCATTCTCTTTTAAGCTTTGCCAATTACTTCAACGATTTTGCTTCTCGTAGTAAATAACGAGCCATGAACTATGGCCTTCATAGTTGACGAGCATGTGCACTAGTCTTATGACCACACATGCTTTGGTTCAATTGCAACCTGCAATTGAATTACTGAGCGTGAGATGTACCTGGCCTCTAGCTACTTGAATGAGCCTGGCTGGAGTGGCCTTTACATTGCCGCATTGAACAACCCGTTTGGCAAGGTTCGTGTAGCGAGCATATACGACAAGGAGAAAGGACAGAGCCGTGGCGTGCTGCAGGTTGCTCCCTCCTGGTTTGAATAGGAGCCCCCCTGAATGAGTTGACAGATTAAGCAACAGTTGCTCACTGAAGGATGAAAAGAAAATGTGTAGACATAACCAAGTTTGATTGTTGGATCAAGAATTCAGCAGTGAAGGTTACTAAATGCGAAGTCACTACTTGTCATTTATCGACAAGATCAGCAGAAATTAGGAAGAAACGTGAACCTGGAGTGCGAAAAATACCAGGGGAGTAGTTGACGTATTTGGTCGGCGATTCAGGCAAAACTGAGCACACAAACTTGTCGGCATTGACCATGAAGAGATCTGTATTGTTATTATCCTTCATGACGATCTGCGGCACAAACAGTGGGAAGCAAAAGTAATGCATAAGAATGAAATACATGGAGCTTTTCCCTGGGTAATTTTTTAATAGGGGCGATGAAGTGAAGATTTAAACCAAAGACCTCAAAAGCGAGGACATTGATACCGGCATTCTTCGTATCCCACCCGAACTCGGCAAAGCTACCTACTCCATTAGGAAGGGAGTTGAAGGTTTTGAACTTATAGTAGTCCAGATGATGTATGTTTTGCACAACATAATTCCAGTAATTAGGTGCCTTGGTCGCCTTGAATAACCATGATGCTGCCCAAATCAACTCGTCCTGTAATTTTGAAGCGAGCCTTTCGAAATTAAAACTCTTTCTTTGATAGGTTATACTTCAGAGATTTCAGGGATAATGGAAAAATATACTGTGAAATTACACGTACATAAACTATGTAGAAAAATACTAGTATTTTAATAACTGGCGTACCTCATAACCGCTGAAATCACAGTAGAATGGGCACACCCTTGGTCCAAGACTGTCATTGTACGACCCCTTATACTTATCCGCAAACTCAAACACCTGAAACATATATCACATGTCCTTATAAATTCGCTTTCCAAGTCTAATATGCTTGCCTCTACGACTCTCTTTTTTTTTTAAATAAAAGATGTTGATACTCGGGGACTTACTGTTTTAGCCCGACTTAGGAGCAGGGCCGAATAGCGGTGATCAACTGGCCTAAAAGCCAATGAAGCAGCGGCCAAAGCGGCGGCAATCTCAGCCGAAACTTCCGAGCCGGGGAACTGTGCACTCACACTATAAGGGGTTCGAGGGGTGTTCATGTCCTCGGGCCTCTCCCAGCAGTTGTGGTCACCGTAAGGTTCACCGACTTGTACAAACACGACCCCGGGCACGCTTGTGGCCTTGAGGAAGTAGTCGGTGGCCCAGCGGATCGCGTCGAGCGCGTGTGGGAGATGCGGGCCCATTTCCCTCCCGAACTCAGATACGCCCCAGGCGAGCATTGTGGTGGACCATGCCATTGGGAAGTTGAACTTGACGTTGTCGCCTGCGTCGTAGTAACCACCCACCAAATCAACCTGCGAGACAGATCAAATGTATACAGTGACAAATCTGATGTTTCTATGTGCACACTCATGTCAATTCCTACTTGATCATTCTAAAATAAGCGCAGGTTTTCCCAAGAAATCATAACTACATCTAACATGTCATATTGGAGGAGAGGAACGACCCAACCAACCTAAAGACTTTAGTAATAGCGCGGGAAAGTGCAGTGAGCTGGGCAGATTTCTTTCCAGGTGGAGGTGAGATTTCAATAGCCGCCATGAAGGCTCTTATATCACATTCATGAATCTCAAGGAAGAAAAATCGAGAAGTGCATTTATTTACTCACTTTTTCCATGACAAGCGAAATGAAGTTCCTTTTCAAACTTTATTTTTTTGCTGGAATTATGGTAAAATTGGCAAATTACTTTTTCTCTTGTATAAATCAGTTTCCTGTATGACGTTGGTCTCCGCAAAGTATGCATGTTTCCTTCTTGCTAAAACCTAAACACAATGCAAAGTAGACGCGTGCACTGATTTCCTCGACATTGACGTCGACTGATGGAAAGGCATTTTGTTTCGTCAAATAATTGATTCTCGTACTATTTCAACGTTCATACGTGTGATCTTCCCTTATTAGGAGGGGAGAGAGAGAGAGAGGAGATGAACGTACGCCGATTTCAAAACCATCGCGAAGACCAGAATCCTTCCTCCAAGTCAATCTCTGGGAAGGAGGCAACTTGCCCGATCTCTGGCCTTCGAAGAAGAGAATGCTCTTGCTCAATGCAAGTCCATAATTATGCCCCGAGACTGAAACCACCATCGCCGCCATTAACATTATTGTGGATCCAACTCTGACGGCATCACTGCTTCTTGTCTTCCCCATCATGTCTGTTTATCTCCTGTGTGAATGTAAAAGAAACTGAATGATCACGACTGTATGAATGACTGAAATACAGTGATGAGTTTATGTATTTGTAGTCATGATGAAGGCGAAAGAAATAAGACGAGAGAGACGTGGCTTTGATTTGGTTTTGATTAGGCTGTACTGGGAGGGTGAAAGAAAGGGCAGAGGGAGTGTGCGAGGCTTGTGCAGATGGTATTGGTGGAGGGAGTGTGCGAGGTTTGTGCAGATGGAATTGGTGGGTGGCACAGGCGCTTGTGCAGCCTCCGTATAAGGCGTCTATCTTCACTGCATTTGGACTTATATCTTTGATTCATTGTTTGCCCATCCTGGCTTTTATATATGTGACCCTAGTGAAGGAAATAACAAAGACCACATATATAGCAGGACAACACTTATTAAGACATATAGTCTGTGTTTGGTAATTAATCTGGAAATGTATAGCCAGGATGATTAAATAGGAAAAATTTGACGTCCTAATGAAGGAAATGATAAGGACCTCGTATATGGCAGGATAACATTTATGAAGACAGAAATGCTGTGTTTGGTAATCCTGAAATTTACCCTGGGATAGGACTAGATAGAATAGGTATGAGATTAGGGATTTCGCTATATCCTATCAATTGTTTTGTGAATGAACTAAAAAATGCACAAATGTCGTGGTCCTATTCCCCATCTCTTTGTTGATTTTGACTATTTTGACGCTCACAACATATTCATATCTGAATTGTTTGAAAATCTCAAGCTAAAATTCTTCTGTTCCATAAAAGACGAAGTTCATCATGTTCTCGTGGCCCTGTTTTACTCAAATCTTCACTTTCCTAGCCACGACTCGTTTGTCTTGAAAGGAAAAAATTTACCGCTTCTAAGTTGTCTGAGATTATCGAAGCTCTGATTGGTGATTTTGCAAAAATTCCCATTGGACCAGATCAAGCTTACAGTTCAGTTTTGGAAATTCCCAATTTCATTCGAGGTTTTGAAGAAGTTGTCCCCTTGAGCCTGTTACCTCTCAAAGTGAATGTCATTGACAAGATTATGATCCTATGCCTTCCTCTCAAATCCTCCTCAACCAACAGCATATCTTGTTAGATCAAGAGAGTTTAAACTCTTAGATCAAGAATTAGATCAAGAGAAAAGAAGGCATAAGAAAAAGAACAAAAAAACACAATCGAAATCAACAAGAGAGGGAGGGGAGGGTGAGGCTAGCTCAAGCCCCCACCCCTATGGCTGAAGTTTGAAAAAGACGATGGAGAGAGAAGAGAGAGAGGGAAGCAGGACAGACATGATCTGAATTAATGCCGACCTTGACAATGACATAACAGCACTATAAATTTATGTTGAGGACATAATAACATTATCAAATTTGTGTCCGTGTGAAGATAGACACGTGTGTTGCACGATTTTTCCTGAATATCAAAGTTTATTTTGAAATTAACATTTAGAGTGCAAGATGAAAATCTTGAGTTTATCCGGTAAATTTAGACATTTTTTATACAGAATTCGTAGATTCTTTTTATGAATCAAGAAGGACCAGCAAAGATTTTAACAGTGCATTTCATTTGAATATAATACCTCCCTCGAATATGATTCTTCTTATGTCTGATCAAGGAAAATATCCACTTTTACCATGTGATGTGGTTTGGAGTCGAAATCACGGCTCATTAACAAATGAGGCCCAGACCGCAATTGCACGGGAAATTGACTGTTCGCTTATTGAAGAAATTCTCAGTTCAATTGGCTTGAGCATCAATAGTGATAACCTTAAATGAGGCATCTACTCTCAAATGAAGCTTTCATAAGTCGTGTTGAATAACCAAAACTAGTATCCTCAAAATGGGCTTGTGAAATACGCACCGAAAGACGAGTGTGATTTATCGCAACATCCTATCCCAATCACGTGATAACCACATGGCGATGTAATTCACCACAAGAATAAGCACAGTTCCTAATCTATGCTAGTATAGAAAGTTATCTGTGCATGCATCGCTCTATAACAATAAAATCTCATTGTAGCGGCAATCTGCAACGGCTGCAACTAAAAGGACTTGCCGAAGGAGCAGAAATCAAATGAATATACTGAAAATTACAATATAAGGAAGTCGTTCTTATTTGTAACTCTGAACATTCATTTCCAGGTATACCTGAGAAAACCGTGGAAGGAAAGAGCAGTTGCTGTCACTCTATATCAAGAAGCAGCCTTCGAGGGTTCTGCAGGATGTCTTTGATAGAGCACAAGAAAAAGAAAGCCTCTCTACCATCAAATCAGTCTGTCATCATAAGTTAGAGCAGTGTACATCGTTGGTTTTTCACATTTATGGAGCTTCTCAAATCTCGATCATGACCTTGTGAATTACCATAATCCATCATTCCTCTGCAAGAAGTTCGTCCACAAGTTTTACATTTATTCTTTTGTTGCTCCAATGTTTCTTTTCTATGCCAAATCCATCTTCCAAATTTCGATCTTAATGTTCGTCCACCCCTTAGACAGTAATTAACAGCAAATGAATAAATTATATACAGTTTGAAACTCGAGAATTATAGCTTTTAGACATGACTTTTTGATAATTGAGAAGAGTAATTTCTGTAAATGAAAAGTAAAGAAGCATCTCGGATGGTTCTAATTTTGTAGGTATACGTGTTTTGTTTGTTCCCACCGTAAATTTCCTACGGTCAAGCTGACTCGGTTCTGGTAAAATGAAGTAATTATGGAGACTAAAAAATCAAATTAATGTGCTTCCACTTTATTGGGGCTAATTAAAAAAAAAGCACAAATTGAAGATCGAGTGACAATTTTGATCTCAACTTTTTTTTGTCTCATAAAAAATAACAAACGTTCACCTTTATCCCAAATCTGGCTCTCCATTGACTATCTATTTGAAGTCACCATTGTTTGAGAAAAAAGGTTATAGTCATGAGCTAAGCAAATCTCCTCCATGGTGTCCCTTGACAGGCAGTGGTTTACAGCTTCAAATTCTGACAAAACAGTGAAATCTAGTCGGAGAGATTCAATATGCAGATCTTTTGACTTGCCGGCGAAGTGATGGAGACGATGAACAGCTTTACTGTTATTCTTCAAGCTGTGACTCAAAGAAGAAGACAATGAATAATGTTTTAAATCCAATCAGTAAGCTACGTGGATTTATTACTAAAGTGGAATAGACAAGTTGGACAATCAATGGTTGTAAGTCAAAGGGGGTTAGATTTGAAATTTAAGTGAAAGTTGGTGATTTTTTACGAAACAAAGAAAGTTGGGGTCAGAATTGTTACTCGATCTAAAGTTAGTGCTTTTTTTTTTTTGAAATCAAGCCCACTTTATTGCCTTTTGCTCGATGATTTTATTCATTATTTTCCTAAATCGTAACAATCTATAAAAATAAATGACATTCAATCAATTTTGGCACTTGATTCCAGGGAAGAATGATATCGGAAAGATTACCATATATAACACAAAATTTCAGAATTATTTGAATGATGATGTAAAATAGCCCTTGTGTTTGTGATACATTTTTTTTTTATCATATTATGTAGATAATTTCTTGTCAAGATGAGTTTCCGAAATATTATAAAAATAAAAAGAAGAATATTTCTTTTTTTTTTCGAAAAGAAGAACAGTCCTTCAATTTTTGAATTTTTATTCATTTTTCTAGAAATATACGGTGCCATCCTAAGATTCCACTTTTAGAAGATTTATGACCAGAAACAGGACCTATTCAGGTTTGATTATGTTGTAGCTTTGTAATTTTCTATTTAATTTTTGAATTTCTATCTCAAGAAAGATATTGATAATTTGAATGAGTTAAGTTTAAGAAATGACAACTATGAAAATAAGGGCCTCCGTTCGTAAAATTTGTGAAAAATGTCGACTGACCCTTAGTTGTTAAAAAAAAAAACAAGAGGGTCAATCAACACTTTCCAATATGAATAATGTCATGTTTAAGCAAGGAGAAGCAACTTCATGCATACACATAATGCCACCAAATGGAGCAAGGTGATTAATTTCATCAATTATGACAACTTCATACCTTGTCTATTCTCTTCCAGAGTTCATCATTGGTCTATTGACTAGGGTGTTCAGTGATCGTTCCAATTCCGATCATAATAATAATAATAATTATTATTATTATTATTGTTATTATTATTATTATTATTATTATTTGCCTTATCTTTTAACAGAAACATAATTTTGTCTTATTAATTTTGCGCATGTTTTGATTTACTTCTAAAATGACAATTTTGCAAACTTTCCTTTTATGCAGGGCAACCTTTCAAATATAAACGATTCCATGCAAGGGGCAACATGTAGATGTACAAACTTGTCATTGTATAATATTTGAATTTTACAATCATGATATCTTAAATTTACCGACAAGGGCTCAGGCCAATGGATTTATCAAAGATAAATTGTGTGTCGGTCCAAATAGTGATAATTGAAAATTAGTGGAGGATCTTAGATTGCCCATTTATTCTTCGGTTGATTTAGAGAGTTTGACTTGATGGGCTCGGAGTAGGGCCTGTTGGGAAGGGCCTAACAAGATCTATCCCTAACCTTTTGTTGTTGGTTTGATGTCAGCTCATGTCCTTCTAATGTGTGGTCACCCCATGTCTTCATGACACATGGGAGCACACCATTCGTTGATCTCCCTACGAAGAGATTGCCACCTGGTAAGATCTCTCTCACTTACCATATTGGCCACATCCCCATAAGTACCTAACTTTTTTTGTTTTTTGGATCAAATACGAATACTTATATATATAAAATAAGTGTCCAAGGATCTGGGGATTGTAAATGGAAAAGAATATAATATAGAAGAATATCTTAATATGAACATTTACATTTATTAGAAAGGAATCCGGGAAATTGTAATAAAAAGAATAGAGCAACGAAGATGTATGTAATTTGTAATCGTCGTTCTAAATGTTCAAAATATCTAATATATTGAGAAAATAGATATAGAATCTCGGATATGTCTCTAGATCTAGCAACAGCAAAAATATA